TCGCGGTAGTTTTCGGGTTGATATTTCTCAGTAAGTTTTTCGGATTATGCATATATATTCTGAATTTTTTGCAATGGTCTGTGTAGGCGTAGTATACCTCTTGTGCTATTGGTGAATTTATGTTCTTGATTACCTTTCCTATGTTTGTTTTGTGATTCACCGTTCTTTGGCGACAGGTTTCGTAACCATGGACTCTAGTTTAGTCATCTGTACTGACTATTATTATTAGTAAAGATGATTTATTTATTTTTGCTTGTAGTCATTAAGTTTAAAAATTGCTGTACTTTTTTTATTCTTTCATTGAAACAAAGTCACACTATTATTTTGACGGTAGGTTTCTTAACCATGGAGTCTTGTGTAGTCATCTGTACTGACTATTGTTATTAGTAAAGGATGATTAATTCATTTTTGCTTGTTATTATTGAGTTTAAAAATTGCTCGACTTTTTTTATTCTTTTACTGAAATAAAGTTACATTATTAGGTGAATAAATTTAACCATTTATTTTGAAAACGAAATGTGGCACGTAGTTTGTGGGATGAGTTAATATTGTGTATAAAGGGTGAAACCAACTGCTTTTAACCTAAACTGCTGGAACTTTGAACGTGACTTCCTTTTATACGCTTTGTATTCGTAATGTAAGCGAACACTAAAAACTATTTCTATCTTATCCAATCGGTGTGGTTTTTTTAATTAGTCCTACTTTAAACTAATTGAGAATTATCCTCACAAACTCATATAAAGTCAGTTACCATTTTTTTATCATTTTCAGCATTATTCATCATGTACAGTAAATATCTAAAATACTTGTTTATATCAATGCATTCAGTTGTTAGCCGTCATTTCAAATTGTTATCACAGTTAAAAAACAAGTGTTCAATTCATTTTTTTTATAACAAAGCGTAGCATTTGCAATGATAAATATATAAACAATAAATTGGAAATAATAAACAAGCTGTTTTTCAAGCAATTCATAAAGAAATTGTCCTATTTTGAATCTACAAATAATATAAGAAACTTTTTTATTTCAAAAACTTGAAAAAAAAAAAAGATTCTTTTTTCACAACATATAAACGATCTATGTGAAAATAATCTTTACTACTTCAGAATTTAGGAACCAAATCATTTCACATACTCACACATCGTTATGACCTTCTAGTCGCAAAATTTGGCGACAATGCTCTTAAGTGAAAACAACCTCAAAATATTTTCGTTACGAATGCAACTAATTATGCGCATTTGTACAAATCACTACAGGAAAATTTTTAATAATATTACAATATGAAACAAATCTTTTGCAAGACACGATTTGTTTATTAACGCCACCTGTAACTTTTTTGTAAGTTAACCATATTATTTTGAAGAGAAAAAAAATTATAGCTTTGTTTGTGATAGATAAACTCAAATAGTTCGGTAGCTCGAGAAGCTCGGTGGCGTAACGGATAAGCGCCGCGCCCCAGATTGTTGTTGTTAAGCAACTTTTGCAAGGGTCGGTCACGGGATGGGTGACCGAAAAATTATTATCTTAAGTTACTCCGTGCTTCGGAACGCACGTTACTGCGTTGGTCCTGGTTGCATCTGTAGTCGTTAATACCCAACAATCCGTATTAGGCCAGCGTAGAGGATCAGGGTCCATTCTCTTTAGCCATATCTAAGGAATGCCTGAGCTCCTGCAGTGGGGACGGTAAAGGGCAGATGATGAAGATAAACTCAAATATTAAAAGCAAGTAAGAAAGGCTATCTTTTATTTGAGAAAAAGAAGGAAGAACACGAGATTACCTAGTAATAGAATAACGGTCAGTTGCACAAACGTCGATTAAGGTTTAATGACGCCTTTAAGCTCTTATGAATGTCAAATTTGTATGAGAAATGACGCTTTAAACTAATGAAAATTTTAATGGACGTTTGTGCAACTGGCTGTTAGTTATAATTGACAAATAATTTCAATATTCTTAATGAAAAATATCCTTAAAAAATCCACTTTGTGTTTTACCTAAAAATGAATCAAATATATAATAAATTATTTCAACATATTATATGAATCATAAATAACTATCGCAGCGATGTTGACAACTTTTACAACCGAGTGGATTGCACGCAATCACTAGGATTGTCAACACTAAGGAATTATATTTTCTCTCTTGTCTTGGATTCTGAGATGATTGTGAGATCGCATTGTTACTTTTAATATCCATAATGTTAGTGTTTTCAAAATTATTCAACAATGAAAGCACTTTCATTAAGGGTTTTAAGATTTTATTTCTGTGTTTATTATTATTATTATTTAAGTAGTATTTATCTTTTGAATGTCTAGTTTATGTACAATATTTTTCCCGACAGTTTTATATATTTTTAGGTATATATTACGCTGTGCTTTATAATCTATCCCGTTTATTTAGTCTACGCCATTTGGGCAAAACAAATAAGGTTATGAGCTCGATTATTTATCAATTGATTTCATTTGTTATTTAAGATATTATAAGATATATGTCAGGAATGACATGAAAATGACAAAATGAAAAAACTTTATTTTACTTATCTGACAATAAACTTATTACTAATTACTGGAGTCCCCTTTTAAACATAATAATGCCTGTACCAGGAGACTCCGCTCTTCAATAACATGTTTATTTATCAGAATGTATTTTTACGGTTTTTTTTTAATCCATAATTTGATTTACTTGATAAATTTGTCTTAATAATATCTAATTAAACATTACTAAGGTATTGTGTGTGTGTGTGTAAAGTATGATTACATAGGTACAATTCACAGCTTTGTTTATAAATTTTTAATTATATTATGCACTTAGCTATACAGCTTATTTGCCATAGTAAGCGCTTACTTGATCGTAATATCAATTTGTCTGTAACCTTGGAGACCGGTTGAAAGGACCTGTCTGAAATGTGCTTGTGGTATATAAATTCCCGTGTTTGTATTGAAAACATTTTTTTTAACTTCAATTGTATTGTATTTGATATAAAACAGAGAGTAATGTTAACTGTTTACTAGCTTAAATAATTAATACATTCTAAAAGAATGTTCGTTTGTTTGGATCGACTTTTTTCTTTTTGTTTTATTATTTATTCTCGTTAAAAAATTACACACATATTGTTTCACTAATAGGTATCACTTAAACCACTTGGGTTTGTGTGTGATACATTTCTCTCATGTAGTGTATATAAACATATTACAATAAACAGCATATTATTATGTTGATTCTTTTTTAATTATTTTTTTTATTACCTTTTACCACGGAATATTAAAACAAAATATAAAATAACGAATAATACTATAGAAACTGGCACCATATACATACTTACTAGTAAAACTTTTCTTTAAAGTTACATACATTCAGCAATACTGGCCCAGTACGGATTAATTGATATCAACTATAACAGATACGACTGGAACCACTGCTTAACATGCTTTTCGAAGCACGGAGGAGCTTGAGATATTTTTGGTCACCCATCCTATGACCGTCCCATGCAAAAGTATATATTCATAGTTTTTTTCGTATTTTTTTCTTCTGGTTGGGTATACTCGTACAATATATTTAGGTTGATTTAAGACATATATTTATAGTTTGAGCAAGGAATATTAGTTTGGGATAAAAATGAAGTAAACAAATATATTGACACAGATTTCACGAGAGTACGTATTATCGTAATCGTCATCTGTTGATAGCGAAACATTATCATAACAATACGTCAATGAGTGAATATCTTATTTTTATCGAATGACATCTTCTTCTTGACGACGTGTTGTCTCTACATCAAGTACCTATTTTGCGTACAAAAGTGGTGGGCATCAAATGACATATTTTATCCAAGATAAATGTTCTAAGAACACATATGTAGAAAAACTATTTTTTAGACAACAATATCGCTAGAAACATATGGCGCTTTATGTTTCTTATAAAATATTCAGACTAAGCCAAGCTCGTCCGAATAAGTTATATTTCGATCGTGGTAAGAAAACGTGAAATATCATATTCAATTTATTTGATTTAGGTTTAAGAGTACCTGTCCATACTTTCAGTAGGTAATTTCAAGGATGTCTAATTAAACTACATACTTATTTAAAAATAGAATACGTACAATTTGGTTGGTACAACTACAGCACACTGGGTCTGATTCGTTAGAAATTTATGTAACTAAAAGTATTTAATATTTAACCACCAATTTAATTTCAATATTACACCATTCTTAAGATGACCTCAATTACAAAGGAAGTGTGTCCATCATATTTTATAAATGATCATGGATCAATCTGAATATGGCCAGTAAGAAGTCATACACTTATGTAAATTAGAGAGTATAAGCAGGCCATTAGACGATCAAACTGGCATTAAAATTAATCTGTGATCTTGATCAGATTGATCGTGTATAGTGTGGATTGATGCCAGATTGAAATGGATAACATTTATCTAGATAATTTTATTTTTATCATTCATCCGCTCAAGTTAAATATTTGCACCAACCCTAAGGATTTGCACTAATAACGCAATATTTAATATATATTATTTTCCAATGTTATATTTTTTATTCTATTTCTTTTTCTTTCTCTATCCTGAAAAAGATCTGAGGGCCTACTCAGTTTGTCCACAAACAAAATTTTCGTAACTTTCATATAATTTTGTTAAAATAATGCTACTGCAAATATCAATGGATCATAGGCAGTGTCAGGATCTATTTCCGTAGCGTCATAAAGAATCACAAAATGCGTTTTTTTAAATTCAAGCGAGAATTTGTTTTTATATAAACAGTGTAGGCTTCTAGCATTTCATTGTTATTTATTATAAAAAAAAATTTAAAACTTACTTTTATACTTGTTATTTAAGACTTCGATATAAACTTGCAGGAATGTAATATCTCTCGGTGTTGATCTTGCTCTTCAAATGATAAACATGTATAATCTCCACTTATCTAGTGAGGTGTCTTTTATTAACATTAATATTTTATGTGTGGTTGTCAACAGGCTTGCTGACAAATATAACTGAAATGTTATCACCGAAATGGCGAAGAACAATATCAAGATGTAAGTGTTATTGAGTTTCTTGTTACGCTTTATGTCATTTTAATTATAAAAAAAAAAAAAAAAAATACCGTTTAGTGACACTGATATATTGAAGATTATTTAGATCAGTCATTCCGTTATTTATAACAATAATACAAAACCACTTGATTCATTCTAAAAAAAGAAAAATTATAATTGGACAATTGATTTTTTTATCTATGTAACGTATTCCTTTTAATGAATTTTATTAAAAAGCTCAAAAACGTCGCCTTTTTTATTCTGATATAAAAAAATGAAAAATAAAACAAATTAATAAAATTGCACTTTTAAGTGCAATACGTAATACTAAATATTTAAAACTACAAAAAAGGCAACAGCAGTACCAACGCCATCTCTATTTTCCATTTGGCAATCATAATTATTGAATCCCTGACGTTCCACGTTAACCACGTTAAGAATTCGTTTCTTTGTTTTAAATCTGTGGAATGTTCTAATCAAATATTTAAATAGAACGCGCATGGTTTATCATTTTATTAAGTCACTAGTGGCCGCCAGTAACTTCGTCCGCGTTTTCCATTATTTCTTCTCTCCTAATAGTTGCAGCGTGATATAACCTAAAGCCTTCCTCGATAAATGGTCTATTCAACACAAAAAGAATTTTTCAATTCGAACCAGTAGTTCCTGATATAAGCGCGTTCAAACAAACAAACAAACTCTTCAGCTTTATAATATTAGTATAGATTTTGTTACATTTCATATATTTTACAACTAAAGTAGACTCTAAAGTGCTTTTGTTGTTTTGTATGTCATATTCTACAATCATAGAAAGACGTTATCATTGTAACTTTATCCTGTGACTAAAGTTATCAATAATGTAATAGAATTCTATTCTTAGAATGTTATTTTAAGAAATAACTGAAGTAATACATTTTGTTGACTTTTCTAAAAGCTAATAATAAAGTAATATGTTAATGATATTTTATATAAGTTATCATTAAACTAGTGTCAAATTTTCCTTACACAATATACCTATCTTTTCATTTATTTACTAATAATATCATAACATTTTTATTAAAAAAACTGTGTTAGATTTTAGTTTAGTTCACAAACAGCCAGTTGCACAAACGTCCATTAAATTAGTCATTAATTAAAAGCGATATTATCCATACAAATATGACGTTCATTAGAGCTTAAAGTCGTCATTAAACCTTAATGGACGTTTGTGCAACTGGCCGAAAATTAAATAGTCACTAGAAAGATTTGTGATGAATTAGAGTCCAATAAAGAAGATTACCAAGTATTGGACCTATTTCTTATTTCAAATTGTATAGAAGATAACGTTAATGAAATCATTATTAGTAGTTTTAACAATTTTCTCACCTGGTTTTCACCTGGGATTCTCACCTGGGAAATCCGCCAAACGTCTTATAGAAGTATACATTAGTACGCGACGGATAATACGTCGATTGTGCTCTGTTTAATATCATGTCATAATATTTGTTGGTTTTGTAATCAATGAGACAATAATATAATTTATTAACAGACTTACGAGAGAAAGATTATATAAGACTCGTAAGATTAACAGAAACATATTTAAGATCTGGAAGTGCTATATTCTATCTATCTTTCTACATATGTATATAGATCTGTGTTTACTTTGCTAAGGTTAACAAAATAACGCATTTTGATAGCATTTCAATAATTGTATTTTCACACTGCATAAGGTTCTTTTGAACCTTTATTTCAATGAAAAAGTATATTACTTATTCTATGATACAAATGTAAAAATATCTAGTAACAAAATGGTCATAATAATGTTAACGTTAGCAAAATCGAGGCACTGTAACTTTAATAATTAGCGTTTCTACATTAAATAACAAAATCACCTTAAAAGTAAATATCCCATGATTTATAGAAAAATCATTTCTTCCGCTCAGTGTTCCTAATTCCCCAGCGGTATGTTCTCGGCATCATGGGCTTGTTGGCTGTGTGCAACGCTTACACGATGCGAGTATGTCTCAACCTGGCAGTCACCCAGATGGTCAACAACACAAAGTCTCAAGAGTCCCACTATGATCCAAACGCATGTCCTGACGACTCCGATCTCCTAGTCAATGGCACTGTTAGCTCAAAACCGGTAAGTGTGTGATATATTGAAAGCGATATGTTATTTACATTATCTATGCCTTGTTTATTGATATGGTTAATTATATTGAGCTTGAATGAGATGTCCTTTAGTATCAATGGCATTATCCAGACTTTGCCCATACGCATTATCGTATTTTTCTATTCTTACACTTGTCCTTCAAATGGTTCACATTTCACTCAACAACTTATTCAATACTACTGTCGGTAAGAGGAAAATGTAAACAGCAACGGCAAATTTATCTTTATGATTTGTCTATTTTCAATGTAATTGATTTTATTGAAGTATATTAAAGTTTTTGATAAAAATGCCACAAATATATTCCCCGAGCTAATACAACCTACGAAGGTCGACTATGAAACAAATTCATGTCCGGTTGACTCCAACCGCCTACTCAAAAATATGGCAGCGAATAAATGATTTATGTTCTTTCACTCAAATAGTTAGTAATAAAAAAACTGAACAGTTCAATTGGATGCTCGGACAACTTTAGCTTCTTAACAATATTAACTTAACAAAGTAGCCGATAATGAGAATATATAATCTGTGATAATGAGAAATAATTCCCCTGTTTGTATCTTTTTCACTTACTTGGTTAATAATAGAAAGGTTACTGCCATTTTTCATTTACATGGAAAATAATAAAAAAGGATCTAGTATTATCATAACCAACGCGGATTAGGTTAGGTTAGGAGGAATATTCTAACTCGATCCAGTCAATCGCATTACCTCAAAGCTCAGATCGAGTATATAAATTATATGGCTCAGTTAGTAAGTATGTGATATTGAAATACGAATTTTATATAATAGAAAGAAGAACTAAAAAACTTCTTTCGCTCGTTCTCTGTATAAGAAATAGCAAAGGACCTAGATATTTAAAATAAAATGCGAGTCACTTACCAAGTTAATTGAATAGCAAAAAAATATACGCAAGCATTTTTCCTCAAGGAACAACTTTTTCTACTTAATCCAATATGAAATGATTCATCAAAATCGATAGACATACTTATTAGTTAGTCTCGGTTGTACCATAATTGCAGTTTGAGTCGACGTTTATATCAAATTTGACAGTATCTGTGAAGTTGATTTTAACATTGACTGTAGAATGCGTTGTAACGTGGTTGTTTCTTTCTTCGCATAGTAAAACAATAACTTGAATCAGTGAAACTTAGGCGGTTATGGTTTATATTTAAAGCTGGCGCAACTAATCCTTAGAGAAGTCAGGCGTGGTAATGCATAAAATATTATAATACTGAAATACTAGAAAGGTTTAAAAAAAATATTCTGTATATTATTTTGGCTATCGGAACTTTTTAATATCTTATAGCTAGCTTTTCAAATCCGGCGGCTGTGAAATTTTCAAAATTAGATTCGTGAAAATAGTAAGCCAATGCAATTTGAATTGATTTGTTACTGACTGTATAGTGTGTATAGGTGGGCTGCAATATAATATTAATTTGGATAAATATTAAAAAGCGTAAATTTACTCTGAAGCCTAAACCATGTTCATTCATAGCATTCTTACTTTGTTTTAATACAGGTAGACTGAGCTGAGATAGAAATGAGAATAAAACAGATGTTATTTCATATAAATTTATTCGAATTATTTTCATGAAGTAAATACTGTTATTAATTAAATATACTAAGAGCATTGTGCTATTAGGAATGTCTACTCTACACTGGCAATATGTACTTAAAACAAGGAAATTATATTATTCGATCATTATTTAAAAAAATAACATTTTAAAATTTAAAAGCGTTGCCATGTAATTAAAATAATATGCAATGCCTAAATTATGGAAGGTAAGAAAGGGGCGGCGAGTACTACATGGCCTATGGTGGCCCTCAAATCCGTTTCTGGCTGCAATTAAAAAAAGTTGATTAATGCGACTCTTCATGTCTTAGTTGAACTTAATTTATAATTTTGGATATTGATTAAAAGGTCATTCATAATATTTCATTAATAAAAATCCCACTTTTGCAAGCGCTGAAATATTGGGAACTCGTGAAATATATATGGTAGCAATCTCGTTTTTAGGAATCATTCATTAAGATATGTACCTAAACTTACGAGAGGAGGGTCTTAGTGTACGAGACGTTCTCGTTTGCTCTAAGTGCTAAGGAAAAATCTAATTTCCGAAACCCTAGTGCGCTCTAATGGTATTAAATCATCCTCAGATCTTGACTTTCCTTAATAATAAGTGACTTAAAGTTGTTACAAAACGTAATCTAGACATTTTCTTTTACATAACTAAGTAAGTGTTATTTTTTGAAAAGGGGAATAAATCATTTACACTAAAAATATTGAATGATCATTTTTATATCGCTTTACTTATTTTGAAACAAAAATACCAATATAGCATTGTGAATGTAAAAGTAATTAAAAGTTAAGTAAACATAAAATAGTAATAATAATTATTTACACATTAAATCTTAAAAATATAATTCTGTCGGTACATACTCCATTTAACCATTTTACCATTTTCAATTAATTTAAAATAAACCAATTCCATAGACTAATTATATGAATTATATTACGTTTTAAGTATACAACATTTGATTATGAAAGTATAATGGACTTAAATCGTATAATTAGATCTCTTTACAGTCAAAAGCAATGAAACAGTGCTAAAACTTTTTTATAAAGGGTTTAAATCTAAAATTTATCTCAGACCAATTACTCTCATAATCGTGGAAAATTTCTGCCGTTTTTACGATCCAATCTTACTATACGATACCCAGTCGTAATAATCTACTAGACCTAGTTCGGTTCGGTACCTTTAATCACGTGTAAAAATTAAACAAGATTCCTTTAGGTGATGATTACTATTTATATTTTGTCATAACAATAAAATTTGTCTATGCTAATATTACAAATGAGAAAGGTTTTATCTTTTTTTTATTGTAATAAATAGGCTCCCAAACTACTGAAGCGATTTTAAAAACTCTTTCATCTACGGGAAGCTACATCACAGGTGACATAGGCTATAATTTACGTGGGCTAAGTTGCGGATCAACAGCTAGTTATTTATTAATCTTATTATAATAAGGAAGAATTAAAAAAAAAAAATTCTAAAATAAATGTCACAAGATGGTATTATGTTTGACATATTTATATTAATCATTGACCGAAAACGAAATCATCAAAATCGACTAAAATTAGCTAAAAATATTTTCGAAACTAAGTTATTAAAAGAAAAACGAAGAGTTAATAATTGACGACGAGTTATTATCACTAATTTACGTGACATTCTTTATTTTACTAGGTCATCCAAAAGAAAATCGGTTTGCGTGTAATCTAAAGTAAGATAAAAAAAATAAAACTATATATAATCACATACATTGCACCGACTCCAAATTAAGTGAATAATGCACGTACACTTGCACTTATGAATCTGAACCAACAAAGGTAACACAACACCAAGATTCGGGCCCATTCTTAAAATAAAAACAATTTCTATATTGATCCAACCGAGAATCGAACCCAATCGAATAGAGATAATAACACTCTAAAACCGGCTTACGAACCACTTGGTCGACATACGATAGATAAAATTTGATTAAACACTAAACATTTTTTTTAAATACGTAGTGACAACTCGCTTGATTTCTCGGAAATTTTTTTTTTATACTTCTTATTAGAAATGGACGATTCTAATGTGCTTTTATAAATTTATTTCAACAAAGAATATAACACTTCTTTGATTTTGAATTTGGATTCCATGCCTGTTCAAATGTATGGCACTAAGTTTGTCTGAGTAACGTGGCAAGTGTTAGATATGAATAACTTTCGATTTTTTTCACCTACAGATAATTGATTATTTTTAATTTATTTAATCGTACTTTGTGATTAAATAAAGCATAAGTTTAGGCTTTATTTTGTGTAAATAAAGATTATTTTTAATCGCGTGTAGTTCAAAACAATCCCATATTATTTTTAAAGAGAATGGTTGTTTTCCATTCAACATTAATGCTTGAGTACATATTGTTTTGATATAGTATTAATTGTTAATTAATTGTTGCAGTTGATTAGAATTAATGGCATCAATTATTTGGATTAGACTATTAATATAAATGCTTAAATAATGACAAAATGTATTTATTAACTAATATATTATCTGCTATTAACTTAACTCTTTTACTCTTGTTTACATCTCATAAATTTTTTTCAAAATATAAATACAGTGCGAGCTAGAACATTCTTGTACTAACAGGGTTAATAGTAACCCCACATTTCATTACGTGAATAGGGAGATTTACGAATCTCGGGAGGGACGTACAGATGGAGAGTGAGAAAGGATTCTAGAAAACTCATTCCCTTACTGGTTTGAATAACGAGCCAAATTGAGAGCGAATTCCGCAGCGGTTTTAACGGGTTAGGCTGATCACAGTTTGACTTTGTCATAGGCAGGTTCTAGTAGTCGGCAAGGACCGAACATGCATAAGTACATTTACCCTACATAAACAATTAAAAGTCTCCGTGTCGGGCACCTAAGATGGTTAAATTTATTAAGTGTAAATACGCAAAATTACGAAATATATCGACAGTTGTGTACTTTTTAAGGAAATATTATTTATGCTCCAATCATGTTGTCGTCATAAAATAAGTAGCTTTTACCTTAAATAGTGCGGAAGCTAACGTTTTCCGCAAACAAGCGTATTACTTTCCGCAAACCAAATTGTCTAAAGCCTCATCTTAACTATCATGATTAACATAAACAGAAAACTAAAATATAATGCAGAAACTCTTTCATTATATAATAACTAGCCCTCGTGGTCCCTAGGGACTGTTTATTTGGATGTCGATTAACACGGATATAATTACAATGACAAATTGAATTGTAAGAGGTGGTTACTATGGCAATGTTTTAATTCCCTATATGAATTTCCACTCCTACTTTCATCCCTCTATTTTATATTTTTTCGGATAGAAAATAACCTATGTTCATCGCATATGATGTACCAACCCGTAGGTGAAAGAATTTTAAAATCAGTAAAGCAGTTTCGGAGTCAATTTATCGCAAACGAACATACAAAGGAATAAACATTAAAATTTTTCCTAATTATAATATTAGTTTAGATCAAAGGTAGAAACTGTCATGAATAGCTTTATATTAACAGTGAATGAAATTGAAATTGGAATTCTGAACCGAATGCCATATATTTTAGATAGGTGCCAATTTTAAAACTATAGGTATGTCTCTAATATTTTTACGTTTATTATTTCAGCATGCCATATTCGATTGGTCGGAGTCGACCCAAGGGTTGATACTCAGCGCATTTTACTACGGGTATGCTATAACGCATGTCCCTGGAGGATACTTGGCTGAACGCTACGGAGGAAAATGGACCTTGGGCATTGGACTTTTGAGTACAGCTCTGTTTACACTTTTGACGCCAGTAGTTGTAAAAGCGGGTGGTGCTACGTGGCTTTTTATTTTGAGAGTACTGCAAGGAATGGGAGAGGTGAGCTATAAAATAAGTTTGTTACCCTTTCAATATGTCGAATATTTTCAATTTGGTATATTAGCTGAATTAAACAAATAATCAGGCATTAGACGAAGCGCTGCTTCAATGTTTATCAATGATAGATTATTATTTTTTCTTATTACATATAAGTCTATTGTAAATTAATTCAAGTAGTTTAATTGAAATTTATGAATTAAACATTTAAAACAACGTCTTGATTAATTTGGATATGCGGAAATCTTATACATTGCTTCACAATAAGGACATATCAAAACCAACAAAGGTTTGGCCCAGTATTGGATGTCAATATTCAGTTGACATTACAGGAGATTTTTTGTGTTTGTATGCAGGGTCCAACAATGCCAGCGCTTATGATAGTTCTAGCTCGATGGGTACCGCCACATGAACGATCTCGCCAGGGAGCACTAGTATTCGGTGGAGCACAAATAGGGAACATATTTGGATCTTTTATGTCTGGTTTCCTCATGGCTGGCGATGGTGACTGGGCCAATGTGTTTTACTTCTTCGGCTGCTTTGGTATCCTGTGGTTCTTAGCTTGGGTAAGTTAATTTCTAAATATTCTGATTTTATCATTTTCATGCATCAAGTATCAATTTGCGTATTTTTCAATTTAAATATATGTTATAAGTACATGAATAGTAACCTTAAACATCTTTTGTTTCTGTCAAGTTATCATTTGTTTTCTTTTAACTTCACCTAAAAATAAATAGTCAGTATCATTTATTTTTGCATTTACAGAGCCTCCTATGCTATAGTACACCTAATACGCATCCATACATATCCGATGAAGAGCTCAAATACCTAAACGAAACTGTAACCAGTGCTGATACGAAGAGCGTCAGAGATCCTGTACCGTGGAAGGCTATTGTCAGATCTGTTCCTGTATGGGCATTGTTGTTTGCTGCTGTAAGTAAATATCATTAAGGTCCAAAAAATCTTTACACTATTTAATAAGAATCGGCATTTTTAGATATCGTCTGGTACCGTCATGCTCCCAAATTCCATTTCTTTCTGATTAAAAACTTGTCTCAGTTTTTAATCAGAAAGAATATTGCGCTAATTAGACTCTATACACAAAGTTTAATTATTGTTTTATTTTTTAGGTTAAATAACCTTTTTCAATATAATGAATTATTGGATTTCAGGTAGGCCATGACTGGGGTTATTATACAATGGTCACAGATCTACCTAAATATATGACAGATGTGCTAAAATTCAATATAGCAGCAACAGGAACTTTGACTGCTATGCCCTATCTTGCTATGTGGGTGTGTTCCTTTATATTCGGCTGGGTGTGCGATGTTTGTGTGAAAAGAAAATGGCATTCAATAAAGACTGGAAGAATCATTCATACCACTGTCGGTGAGTAATTAAGACGTGATAATTGTACGTTTTGAATACAATCGAAATTAAAATAACATATTGTTGTACAACTTATGAAAATTACAAACGACAACGAGAAAGAAAAGAGAGAAAAATGTGGTAAATAGTTGTTTATAAATAAATGAAATTGCAATATTTTATTTTAAGGATAAATAAACAGTTATACTAATAAAATTAATAGATCAAATCAAAGCAAAGACATACTATATTCGTGAAATATTGAACATCGAATTAAAGAATTCTATACTACACCTTACCCTTTTATAAACTACGACGATTAATTAAGAGCATATTTTATGTCATATGTAATGCGAAGCTGTAATGTCGTAGATACAAAAAGAATCATATCTTGATTTCAAAATTTAAATTCAGTGTATTTTTTTAACGCAATATCACTTTTTCTAATTAACGTATACCTCAAATAAATATAAAGTTTTCAACAGACATCAAATCTATACTCCTAATTATAAAGACGTAAAGTCACTATCTTTGTTTGTTTGTTTTTAATATTCGGAAATAGTGATCCGATCATGAAAATTCATTCACCTACATGAAGCTTCATCATATGCGGTCCGATGGGCTATAATTTAAGTGAATGAAGTCGCGGGAACACAGCTAGTAAGCAAATAAAATGTTCCAATCTTCTTCAAGTAACATTTTGCTCTTGTATCTGAACTTCTGCAATATAATTTCCAGCTGCTACGGGGCCGGCCATCTGTATCATATTGGCGTCCTACTCCGGTTGCGACCGCTATGCAGCTGTCGCGTATTTCATCGCGTCAATGGCTCTCATGGGTGGCTTTTATAGCGGTATGAAGGTATGTATGACATGTGGGAAACAGATATTTTTGATAACCATTAAACGAGTGCATTTCGATTAATTCTTACGCTAGCTTAATCAATCGAGTTATGCGGTAGAATAAATTGATAAAATTCACATCATGTTTTGATGGGAGATAAATTATCCAAGTTAAGTATGTCTGTAGTAATGAACCGAAAAATATTAGCAATTACTGACAAGGGTCAGAATACATTCAATGATTTTGAGGCCGCTTCATTATTTCTCTTATCGAAAGCCAACGGAGCTGAAATTATTGTATCTATCCAGGTAGACATATCCCATTGTGCGGAGTGATTTCATTATAAAGGTATAATTGGCGTTAATATTGAATCACAGATATTGAAAATTATTATAATTATTTTGGACTTCCAGCATAAGTAAATTGACCATAAAAATGAGTTTTACTAAAACAAAACTGAGTAAAACTGAGCTAATCTTTCGCATATTTTTCAAATGACTTATGACGTGTTTCTTAAAGTTATCGACTAGAATATAAGTATATATTTATCAGTCAGGGACTCAGAATTATATTTTGACTTTGCTTTAATTTCATTTAGTATGAAAGTTGTCTGTCTGTCGCATTCAAGGATGAAATAAAATCTTGTCGCTTTTATTTCCATATAAATATTTTTTAAATCCCAGTTCAATTTCTATACAATGGATTCTCAATTATTATAAGTCTATTTTGTTACAGGTTAATGCATTAGATCTGGCTCCAAATTACGCCGGGTCCTTGACTGCAATGATTAACGGTACTTCGACTATATCTGGTATCATCACACCATACCTTATAGGGCTCTTAACACCCGACGTGAGTATTTTCTACATTATTAGAGTGATAGGAAGAGTAGCTCGGTGGTGTAGTGGATAAACGCCCGCAAATGGCTCATCCACCTTAACCATCCATAAGGAAGGCCTGGAGCCCCTGCAGTGGGTATGAAAAACGGCTGATGATAATGATAGGAAGAGGACTACCTCTTGCATGGCACTAGCCTATTGGCCTTAACTTCAAAGAAGAGATAAGAAATGGAGACTTCCTAGGTCTATATTTTTTCCGAGACATCTGCCCCAAAACTTATTTAAGTGTTTCATTAAAAAATATCTTATTTGGAATGAGTAATTCGTTCTTGTTTATGTTTGTTATTTAGGAATTAATTTAAGTATAAGTAGAAAAATAGGTAAATTGATCTTGTTGAATATTCAAATTAAATCTGATTTTCTCAAAACATTGTCTTAAAGTAAAAAATCATAATTATTTGCCTTATTAAACGGAAATATACTGACTTTAATTATTCTCATAAGCATTTTTGTGTTACAATATCTAATTTTGTGCTTACCGTTCAAATTTTGATACACACTTATGTAATCTCTTCAAAATCTCAACCTACTTAGACGAGAAAGTTTCGACCTTTATAATAGACCCCCATCGGTAAGAGCTTTTATCTCTACGTCAAAATCTGTTCGAGCTGTCATCGTCTACTTTGTTGGCTTGAAAGTTCCCGTAATCTGTATTTAGTTCTTGTTTATTTCAATGACGTCTAATTGATGCTTTATAAAATTTTCCCGTCAAAAGCAGCGGCGTTTGTGCCTATAATTGAATATCGGAAAGCCATTTCACTGGCTATCGGGGAGGGAAAATTGAATGTTTTCTTACATTTTAAGTAAGACCCGTATCGGTATGCCACGCACTTCTGTTTTATTTTTAGAACGTGAGCTTTCTATTGAAAGCTGCTTTGCTGCAAAGCACTTTAACATTGAATATGAAAGAGAAAACGAGACCAAAGCAACAGATGAATCGATGAGACAAAAAGAGAGATGGGATCATGTATCCCGCAGAATAGAACGATAAAACGTATAAAAATGTAAAATGATTGTTGTAAAATTTGTCAAAGAAATTACACTTCGCTATTTTAGTGATTCATACTCTTAATTTGTACTTTAAAAATAAAGCATAAATTACGCGAAGACATAAAATGAGTTAAATTTTAAAGGTAACTTTTTTTTTTCAAGAAAATTTTGCTAAATGCGGGTTCTGACCAATTTAAACCAACAACAATGTTGTTATCTCGTTAAGAAATTGTTTACTTTCCATTATATCTTCGAATATCCATTTTGAATTATGCATCTTGGTTAAGGTAAGGTATTAATGTATAATGTTAAATAAACAAACTTAGATCGAGATTAATGTAATTCATAATCTCGATCTAATATTTTTTTTTCATAACGCTTATATTATAGAAGACATTGAAAAATTGTGGGCCACTTTCTTACTTTGGGTTGAGATTGAGAAATTTTACAATAATTATTATGGTTCGCAAGGAACTCATTTTGTCGCTCTATTTCGTCTAATAAGTCATTCTATGTCCCTATCGATGTCACTGATTTTGCTATCGTTCTTAAATTATCTTTATGCGCAGAATTAATCGGTTGTTTAAGCAAAATCTACTTTATTTCGTTGTGTTTAATGATTATTTTGTAACATTATGATTAATCAGCTATTTTTCTTTTTAGTCAACACTGGTTCAATGGAGGACAGCTTTCTGGGTTTGCTTTGCTGTTCTAGTTGGTACTAATATAGTTTATATTATCTGGGCGGACGGTAAACAACAATGGTGGGATGACGTTAGACAATATGGCTACCCATCTGACTGGAAGCATGGTCCACTGAAGACCGTCGATTTAGACAAGGAAAAGAACAAAAAAGAGAAAGCAGCATTGGAAGGATCCAAACTATGATTCGTAATTAGTTTTTAAGTTAATTATAACTTTATGGTAATTGTCCATTAGATTTTTTCACGTTATTGCAATGTGAAAAATTAATTCAAGAACGATAGAAGATATCAATGAAATGATAATCGCGAATTTGTAATGTCAGTTTCTATTCCAAATTCTTTTTAGTGATTTTCCTTTTACTTTTCAAGAACTACTTTATACGAATGTTTATATAAACAGTATATTTTTTATAAAATAATATCGGACACTATAATGAATTTCTTGGTTATTTATCATGAAATATATAAGTGATACATTCATATCTATATCATGTAATTTTTTTATGTTTCATGAAATAGTAACTGACAAGTAAAGATTCAAAGTCCCAAAATATTAAATAGATTCCAGAATATTGGATGGAATTTAAGAATAGATTCCAGAATACTAGTTACCAGTATTTTTTCTTTAATCTACATAGTAGATAATATACGGAGTGCCTCTATCCTTTGCATAGTAGGCAGAGAGATAGAAATATCACAAATGTAATTAGTATATTCAGGATATTAAGCTAATTGTGAGGCAAGGTAATGAAATGGTTTTGTTTCATTTATTTTGTGCATTTTTTCGGTTCTATTTCTTTTTGTTAAGAAAAATTATTATTTATTTAATAATTCCAAGTAGAGTCGCCATTTTCTTGCATAGTTTTGTTTTACCTTATTTATTAGATTAAGCAACGATTCGTAAGTTGTGCATGAGCTAAATAAAAGATTAAAGTAGATTACAATAAATATATATACGATGGCAGGATTTAATGAAATTGTCAACATAGAAATTATTTACATTTACATTATAAGTAAGTTAGTAGTGTACATAATGATGTGCCATTTACGATTTCATAATAGGTATATTTTACTTTTAAGATTGGAGAATATTGTACTGGAATAGAGTAACTCTATCATAAAGAAAAAGTAGGCCTTCCTAATACCTTTCAATTTACTCAATTGAATACGAATCAGCTGCTCCTTTCAATCCAGGCAATTTCACCTGTCGAAAGTACTGATTGCGTCTCTAATTTATTGGTTTAGTATTGACTGTAAAGGTTCGTTTATATATTCAGACATTGAATGTTCCAGATATGTCTTTTGACGTATATCGTAAAACAACAACAATCTAGGAAAATTAACAAAAAGTAGTTAAGCCCTAAAAATAATTTACAATTTCAGCTTTATTGCAATCAAATAAATGTTAATATCATATAGTCTTATATAATCCTAATGAAAATAGAAGTCAAACTCACCGCGACGATTGAACATGAAACAAAACTGAACAAAATTGGATATTTTAATATGTTAGTATTCTGTTCGAGTCTGTACGTTATACAGGCAAGAGACACTAGCTACAGGACTAGGCTGCATGCACTGTTAATAGATAATATGGTGGTTCTAGTGTGCTCAATGTCTGTAAATATAAACGAACCTTTACACGTTTTTATAAATATTCAGGTTATTTATGAGCACACTTTTGTTGAAGTTATTGAGAGTTTGTATATTAAATTACACTGTTATAGGATTTTGACAATGCGAACGAAAGAATTTATATTATTTATCTTGTGCATGTGTGCGAGATATATTATTTATTTATAGTATTAGTGATATTTATTATTTATACAAATTTGAATATTTTTCTTTGCCGTATATCTTGTTCCCGTTTTTCTCCTTCTACTTTTGTAACTTAATAACACCGGAGATGGAGAAGAAAAATGACGTCATAAAAACGTTGCTACTAATGATATACTTTCTGTCTAAAAAAGTTTTATACCAATATACCTACAGTTTGTATATTAAACACATATACATAAAAAAAGAACACTATCCTGTTGGAGCCTTTAGACATAACATACTGGCAATTCTATTTCTGATTTTAAAGCAGTTTTATACAGAGTTGTTCAAGAAGAAGGTTTTTATGCATGCAGGCGTAATTACTGGCAGAAAGCTAATAAATAACCCCAGAATATTATTATTAATATTCAAATTTCAATATGAATTGAAAAACTTCTTTGTGTAAAGTAGAAATAGGAATAAAAATTGTGAACTAAATAAATATCAAGCAGTTGAAAATCCAGTAGTAATGTGACAGGGCACCAGGTATGCGAGAATGTAAAATTTTCGAGCTTTTAAATTGTAATACATTGAGAGAAGAGTTCAAAATCAACTGTGGAAATATGACATATTGTGGTGCCCTCTGTGGTGGTGACCTGATAGTAACTTTGTACAGAATGTCTATGTATGTAATTAATTTTGTTTATATACTTACTAAGAAAATATTTTATTTATCTTATTTTATTTAATACTTAAATATGGTTATTTACAATATACAAGATTATATCAATTATACGATACGATGTGATATATAAGTACTTATATAAAAAGTGATAAAACTATTTACATAAATATTAATTTATAGTTAGTACAATAAATAAAATTTTCATTGAAGTTTCTGTTTCAATTTTAATCGACATTTAATGAATATTGAAATATTAAAACGTATATACTCGTATTACGGAAGTAAGAAAATTTTATCTGAATGGCAATCTACTCGAACAGATTAAGCATAAAAATCATTGGATGCCAGTCGCATTTGAATTGAAAACTTTTTCAATTCAATGTCAAAACAGTTTTGATATTTATCCTACTCGAAACGAGATCATGTCACATTAGATAGATAATTTTAGATTCATTTAAAATACCATAACGGCGAAAGAGTCTAAGGTACTGGCGCCTAATGTGGCCCATTGTTTTTGACTGCTGAAGTGTTAAAATCTAGCTGTTATGATATCATCAGTATATTATAATGTCTTCTCTGTCTAGGCACAAGCCTTCCTTATATATGGAAAAGTAGAAAGGGCCATGGCCCAATACTAGAGCCCAGTGCGGTTTGGTGGGTGTTAACGACTGCAGATGCAGCCAAGGCCAACGGTTTGATGTTCTTCCGAAGTACGAAGAAGTTCGAGATCATAATTTTTGGTCACCTATCCTAAGACCAGTCTTAGCGAAATTTGCTTAACAACAATATCGCAGACTGAACAAGCTCGACCGATCGAGGTTCTAAAAATCTAATAGAAAAAAAATATTATTTTTAAATTAGACTATCCTTATTGAT